ACATGCCCGAGCCACTATGTTTGTGACAATATATTTGTTTTTATCTTTTTTTGATTCACAACCTACTAATGCAGAGGATGAGTCATGGAACCTCATCTGTCCAGTTGAGGTTGCATATGTACATAGCTAATTGTTTCTATTTTACTATGAATTGCACCTCTCAGAACAAATTACACTTGTGAACATACTTTATTCCACTCGTATCACATTCAGTTCTTATTTCAAGAGGGAAGAGCATACCTGTTCCAGAAATAGTGTGGTACCCCACAAGTGTGCTTTGTTTTCATCTCATAGCACACCTTTTCATTTTGGGCAGTCACTTTCCACTTGGTTTTAATGTTGTGCACCTAAACTGGCCCCTCCACTTTTGCAATGTGGGATTCTAGCTTTATGTGAGAGGAGGTGTGACTGTATTGAAGTTAACATTTTCTTACACTGAAAATGTATTTCTGATAGGTACTTACCTCTTCTCACAAACTTCCCACCCTTTCTAGCTACTGCCAGTGTTCTTCTTTTAGAGCCTGCCAATTCTTGAAAGTGAGGATTGAGCAGAAATGGTAGAGAGAGCTAGCTGCACCAGTATGGGTGGCACAACACTATTGGTAGATAGTAGTCGCATAATATGTACATTTTCAAAAATGGCATGAATTTGATTGGGGTATATAGACTGGTGCAGTGAGCATGAAAGAAAATGTTTTAGCAGTGTTTAGAGGGCAGAAAGAAGATTGAAATATCTTTATGTGAGAGAGATAAGGACCTATCCAAAATACATTTTCAGTGTAAGAAAATGTTAACATTAGAGCAAGATGTGGGTATACAAGCCCACAGTGTTCCAAATTTATATAACCCTTCACTGCCTGCAGACAGTTGTGGAAAGGAGATACATAAGATACTCTTACCTCCTGATGTTGACATTCCAGCCCTGATTATATTAGCAAACTTCTAAATTAATAAGTTAATTAGTAGTACAGCAGACAAATTATACTAGTATAAAAACCCAACCAAGTTATCTAAGCTAGTATAATTTCCTGCCACCACCCATTAAATTTACTTGTAGAGTCCACTATAACTGTTAATTTTCAGACTATACCTGAACCTTTATATGCAATAAGATCTTTTTCAGCATAAAAATAGGCCAAGTTGTTTAAACGACCTTATTAAAAGCTAAAAATATTATCCAAAACTTCAAGCAAAATTTTCTTACTTCTTTATATTTATACATTTTCATTAAAAAGTAATTATTTTGATAATTTTATTTACTGTTTCTTTATTAAATCCATGAAATATTAATTTTTTCATCAATATTTCAACATTAAGAAAGAAATATTGTAATTTATTACAAATTTTACAAAATTTGAGTAATTGTGAAGTTATAACACTTGTAACAGAAGAATATGGCATATTACTATTAGAAGAGGGTAGACCATATATTGGGAAAAATAAATATTTTATTTAATCATTATTTAGATTGATATCA